TTAATCCGACATCAACAATGAAGGCAACAAAAGCAAAAATAAACAAGTGGAACTACAAACTAAAAAGCTTCTTCTGCACAGCAAAGGAAACCATACACAAAATGAAATGGCAACCTACTGAATGGGATAAAATAACTGCAAATCATCTATCTGATAAGGGACTAAAATCCAAAATATATAAAGAATTCATACAACTCAATACCAAAAAACAATCCAATTAAAAAATGGGCAGAAGATCTGAATAGACATTTTTTTCAAAGAAGACATACAGATGACCAACAGGTACATGAAAATATGCTTAACATCATGAATCAGCAGAGAAGTGCAAATCAAAACCATAATGAGGTGGGGCGCCTGGGTGGCTCAGTTGCTTAAGTGTCTGCCTTTGGCTCAGGTCATGATCCCAAGGTTCTGGGATCAAGCCCCGCATCAGGCTCCTTGCTCCACGGGAAGCCTGCTTCTCCCTCTGCCGCTCCTCCTGCTTGTGCTCTTTGTCTAATAAATAAATAAAATCTTAAAAAAAAAAAAACAAAACAAAACCATAATGAGGTATCACTTCACATTGTTAGAATGGCTATTATCAAAAAAGAAAAAAAAAAAACAGAAATAACAAGTGTTGGTTGGCAAAGATATGGAGAAAAGGGAACTCCTGTACACTGTTGTTGGAAAGGTAAATTGGAAAAATATGGAGGTTCCTCAAAAATTTTAAAATACAATTACTGTATGATCCAGCAATATCACTTCTGGGTATTTACCTAAAGAAAATGAAAACATTTATGTGAAAGATATATGCACCCCCATGTTCACTGCAGCATTATTTATGACAGTCAAGATACAGAAACAATCCATTGATAATCACGGTGTATATGTATGTGTATACACACTAGAATATTATACAGCCATAAAAGAATGAAATCTTGCCTTTGAGACAACATGGATGGAACTTGAGGATATTATGGTAACTGAAATAAATCAGACAGAGAAAGACAAATACCACATTTTCTCTCTTATATGTGGAATCTAAAACAAACAACAACCAAAAAACCAAGCTCATAGATACAGAGAACACATTGGTGGTTGCAAGAGGCAGGGGGTGAAAGGCAGGAGAAATAAGTAAACTGTTTTTGTTTTTAGTTTAAATAAATTGAATAAATATTCTGATCCACAGACACATTATCCATTGTACCACTGGCCCCCTTCAAATTGAATATTAAAAACAAAACAAAACAAGTCGGTGTCTGTGATAAAGCAGCACAGTGCTTATTATATAACTTCGCTGGGTCCTACACAAAAATTAATGCAAAGTAGAAACTCTAAAATATCATTCAGCACTTCATGATACCCTGATCTGAAAGACTGTCCTCCAAAAGAATCTATGCATTACTCAGGAAAGCTTCCGAGTGGCAATAAATACTCTCCTATGAACCTAACTCCATGGGGGCACATCTTGAAAGACTAAAAGAGGGGAAAAAGAGTTACAAGAACTCTTCCAGAACCTGCTGAAATTTCAATATACCCTGAATCTATGACAGCAAGTAAAAAAAACAACATTCTAATGCAAGATTGATCTCAGAAGACAAAAGTTAGGTCAAAACTCTTGAATGCCTGTGCCTGCATTAGAAATCAGCTTGTCAAAGTTACTTTAAGAGAAAAAGTAGTGAATGGGGTAGGAGTCAAGTGCATCTTCCCTCTCTGAAGCTGAAGAACTGAGTAAGACACAATGGATGTTCTGTTTGGTCTTCCGCATAAGAAAGGAGGGGTGGTCTTGGAAATTTGTTGAGATACTGTCCAATTCTGCAGTCACAGTTCTACACCTTTAAAGAAGCAGCCCCATTTCCGAATTCTTTAACCAGATTCAATTATTAACACCAAGCTGGAGGGAAATTTAAAAAAACACAAAGATGTTTCATTTGAAAAGTAATTTGACCATATAAAAAGTCTTAAGATTAGGGGTACCTACCTGGCTGGCTCAGTCGGTGGAGCAGGTGACTCTTGATTTCGGGGTTGTGAGTTCAAGACCCACATTGGGTGTGGAGATTACTTAAAAATTTTTTTTAATTTTTAAAAAGTCATAAAATTACATTCCTGAGCCTTCCGGTACTTCCACCTCCAGGCATCTCTCCTAAAGAAACAAACCCGCTGCCTGTTTAAGACTATGTGTTTCCCTGGGAGCTGGTTACATCACTCGCACCAGGATGCAGGATCTGTCAGCACCTCCCCTCTGCACACTGGTCCAGTTCTGCTGAATAAAAAGCCACCGAATTCCTCCAAGTAATTGAGCCGATCTGAGTCTTTCCTTTCCACTCAGAGAGGAGTTATGCTGAAGGCCAGAGACCGTTTGTGATATGAAGTTTCTATCTAAAACTAAAGGCAAAGGTCATGAGGTTGCTGAACCAAAAAGTGCTATCATTCTAAGACACTTCATATATCAACACAAAACCATTCTTGGACTGAAGTTTTAATAAAAACATAAAGGCCAATAAATCCACCCTATCTCTCATCCCTGTTATGCTTGGCCACCAACTCCTTCCTTCCCTGATGCTCTGGTTTCTCCTTGCTTCCGTTCCCAGACTCACCCCCAAGACCCTCCAGCCAAACACCCATCACACTCCATGTAATCTTGAATTGTCAAGAAACTACTCCACACCCTGACCTCTTCAACCAAATGTTCTCTCAACCTCTTCTGTTCTCTCTACAGCTTCTGGTTCTCTGCCACAGATACCACACTCAAGGGAGTGATGCTCATTTCCTTGCTCTGGGAAGTTGGAAAAGGGGGGGGGCGGCAAGATTTTTCTAAAATCCCTTCCCTCTACTAAGCCGTTACTCTCCTACCATTGTTTCAAAAGTGAATCCCTACTCAGACACCTCTCCTTTTAATGCCCACATTACTACCACCTCATCCCTGTTTTAAAATAACCTTTACCTAAACGGCAAAAAACATAAAAAATAAAATATCTCTTGGGATTCCTGCCTACAGGACCCAAAATAGCACTTGTATTTGTACTTTCCTTTTCCTTCCTGACACCTGTCTCTGTGGAGGAGGTAAACTTCTTCCCATCAAACCACCAAAGGCTCATCTCTCTAGGTGTGCAATGTCCTTCTCTCCCTTCACCCTCACCAGGGACCATGTTTAATCACGATCTTTCTAGCATCGACATATTCATTCGCTGGATCTATCCCAGAAAGACACAGACAGAGAGAGAGAGAGAGACACACACACACACACACAGATATATATGTGTAACTCCTTCTCCTTTATCTCATTTGACAGAGGGAGACACAGCGAGAGAAGGAATACAAGCAGGGGGAGTGGGAGAGGGAGAAGCAGGCTTCCCGCCGAGCAGGGAGCCCAATGCGGGGCTCGATCCCAGGACCCTGGGATCACAACATTAGCCAAGGCAGATGCTTAACAACTGAGCCACCCAGGCACCCCCAAGCCCCAGGACCCTAGCATCATGACCTGAGCCAAAGGCAGACGCTTAATGACTGAGCCACCCAGGCGCCCCATGACTATCTCTGGGCTCATCAATTTCCTCCAACGTTTTGTTCATTCATTCCACTCCACTATTTTCTTCCTCCATTCATACCTATAACAATGCTACTTTGCAGGACTATAATTCTGGCCTTATGCTCTTATTATTTGAGCTTACCCTGGATGATGACTATTCAAATCCAGCAGTTTCACCTACACTTGATCTTGCTCCCAATTATCCACATCAGGATAGACCTCAACATTAAACCCCAGAATCACACACCTAATTGATTCTACTTCACTCTGTGAAACCCTCAACATGTCCCAAACCAAATTCATTTTCCCTTCCAACCTGTTCATGCTCCTATAATTTTTTTTTAAACTGAAGTATAATATACGATGTTTGATTAATTTCAGGTATACAACATAGCGATTTGACAGTTCTATACATAGCGAAAAGCTCACCATGATAAGTGTAGCTACCATCTATCACCATAAAATTATAACATTATCCACCATATTCCTTATGCTGTACTTATCCCCATAACTTATTTATAACTCGAAGCATGTGCCTCTTAATCCCCTTCACTTATTTCGCCCATCCCTCTTCCCCCTCCCATCTGGCAACTACCAGTTTGTTCTGTTTATGAGACAGTTTCTGTTTGTTCATTTGTTCGTGTGTGTTGTTTTTTAGATTCCACATATAAGTGAAATCATATGGTATTTGTCTTTCACTATCTGACCTATCTCATTTAGCATAATATCCTCTTATGTCTGTCTATGCTGTTGAGAATGGCAATATTTCATTCTTTTTTCTGAGTAATATTCCATTGCATGTATACCATGTCTTTTATTTTTTTAAGATTTTATTTATTTATTTGAGAGCGAGTGAGGAGAGCACAGGAGGAGAGGGAGAAGCAGACTCCCTGCTGAGCAGAGAGCCTGACATGGGGCTTGATTCCAGAACCCTGAGATCATGATCTGAACTGGAGGCAGATGCTTAACTGACTGAGCCACCCAGTACCCCAATACCACATCTTCTTTATCCATTCATCTATCAATGTACACTTAAGTTGCTTCCTTTGCTCCTACAATCATATATGAAAGAATTAATGGTGCCAAAATTCATTTATTGTCCCAGTCCAGAAACACAAGTCATCCTCAACTGTATCTTCTCGCTCTGACACATTTTAACAGTCACCAATTCCAGCAAATTCTCTAACTCTTGAATCCATTCCCTCCTTAATCTGCCGTATGTCTTGCTTACATTGTTAAAATAAACACTTAATTAAACTCTTATTCTCTAAGCAAATATTCTATGTAATCGTTTTCCACACAACTGCAAGAATACAAAATTGTATATATGCTTCAATTTTAAGTATGTGAAATTCTCATAGTAATTGTCTAATATTCAATTTTATTCATATTTTCTGTATTTTCCAAATGTTCCACCATAATCATGTTTTTAAAATAAGAGCAAAAACAAAACTACTTTATAATGTGAAAACAAAGATAAATGGTATCATACCATGCTTCAGTGGTATATCTAGATGATGTTCCTGTGTATGCCGAGGCCTTGGAAACAACTCGGGTCCTGGGGAGTTGGTATAAGGGCAAATCTCGCTCCATTCTTTGAGCCACAGCAGGGAGTTCAACAAGCAAGCCAGGGCCTTGGATATCGTTTGGAATCATCATGCCTAAAGAGCAAACCCAGATAATAGTAAACACAAGATGATTTCATTCATCCTTCATTCGTTCAATAAATAGTTATGGGCATCTAATAGGGGCAGACCTTTCAAGGTAGAAATCTTATTTGTATTAAACTAAATAAGTGAAATGTTTAATATGTCATTTGGTGAAAGTAGTATGGTCAAAAAATGAAACAAGGAAGGGGGATAGGGACTGCTCAGTGGAAGAGAGTTACAATTTTACATATGGCCTCACGGAAACGATGACATTTCAGCAATAGAAATATTTTATCAAAAGAACCCCCTTAATGATTGTATTCTAATCTCACTACACATTTTCCCTTATTAACCTAAGCTGTCCCAACTGCAGGCACTCCTACATTTCACTTATTTAAAAAAAATTCCACAGAATAACAAATAACCAAATAAAAACATTTACATTAAAATTTTTTTTTTAATTTTAATTTCAGTATAGTTAACACACAGTGTTACATTAGGTTCTGGTGTACGATATAGTGATTTGACAACTCCATATATCACCCAGTGCTTATAATGTTAAGAAAACACATTTTTAACAGGGCTTTGTTTACAAATTTCAGAATTCATTTACATTTGTTTACCTCATTTAATTTTCATATCAAACTATGAGTTAGAGAGAAAAGATACTAGCAACCATATTTTATAGATGGAGAAACTCAGGTTAAGGAATTTTGCCAATTGGAATGTGCAAATTTACCTGACACGCCATCTGTGACATTTCCCAATTTACTGAAAAAAAGACTAGGGCAGAGTTGTGCTTAGAGTCCTAGGACACATAATTAGAGACCTGCGCCCATACTGGCATAGGTCCATTAATCACCCTTAGGATACACCCCAGTAATCGATTAGAAATTCTCAGCCAATCTTTCTTCAGCATATTAGACAAATATTATGAATTGTGATCATATGCCTTCCTTGAATCCATACATTTATAGTATTTTTTGGAGCTCTGGCTTTTTAGAAAATCAGAAGTGATTTTTAAGAGAGAGAAATTACCCTAAAATTTTTCCTGTAAGCACGACCTAAACTCTTCCCGTTTTTTCGTAATGAACAAATCTTCTGCAAACTCACTACTATTGCTTTTTATCTTGTCTAGAAACTTTGGAATCAGTTGGTAATGCAACAGAACCTGAAGAAGGAGTGAAAGTAACTGTAATGCTCAGGTGGTATTATAGGACGTTGCAGGTGCCTGTCCACCATCCCCGTGTACCCTTCAACTCCTGTCCACATGGACCTACATTCCTGCAAAGCACTGTAATCCGTATCATCGCCTCAGAGTTCTAGCTCTGCCTATGGCTTCCTCCTTCCCACTGAGGAGAGACCAGGGGTGGGGCCAAACACCAGTGTTAGGAAGAGGGAACCGGCTCTATTTGCAGAGCGGTTTCCCACCCACCTATGCTGGTAAAAGTGGCCTGTTAAATTATGGCATTGGGTTTCAGAGGTTGCTGCAGTCCATTTAAAACTTTTCAGTACCTGTTCCGCACAAAGGCTGCCCGTGCCCCTTGCCCCACTCCTCCTCCACGGACCCTTGGTGCGGGGGCTCAGGCACACATTTCTCATCTGTCACTGTGCCTGACACACTCACACTTTACAGAGCCCATAAAACAAATCGAGTCCTCCAGGGCCTATGCAGGTGTTGGGTAAGGGCCATACAGGCGCACAAAGGTTAGAAAAACAAAGAAGTTAAAAAAAAAAAAAAGGTTCCTGGACAAATGGAGGTTAATGTTTATAGGAGAGGAATGGGGGAAATTTTCAAAAGGCTTATACTTGGTGAGGTGCAAGAACAGAATGGTCAATAAAATAAAGGCAAGAAGAATCTTGAGTAGAGAGGAGGGTGGGTTATTGTATAACCTGGCCACTGTGGGTGGGGGCGGGAAGGAGGGCTGTTGAATAACCACACATAAGTAGCATTTCACTTTCTTACTCAACAAGTATTTCTTGAGCACCTGCTAAGGTAACACAATCAGATATAAGCCCCTTCTAGAAGCTCAGTTTATAGCAAGAGCTACATGCAAATGAGTAAGTGTGCCTGACTCTTGGGTGCAATGATAGAGACTCATCCAGCATTCCCTGGAGGTACCATCCAGGCAGGGGCAGTCAAACATTAGGAAGCAGAACTACTTTCTATCTGAAACCTTCTGAAAACATGTAACACTAAATGTATTATTGACTTGGAATCTATCTTGTATGTTTCACCTTATTAATTATGCTAATTTATAGGTTTAGTTTCACAGCCCAAGAAGAGTAGAGGCTCTTAGAGGATACAAAATTTTGGATTAACTACAGGGTCAAGAATAGCCGTTTACACATAAGGTTCTCAAAAATAAGTTTTAAATTAACTGTTCAGAAAAAGAAATTTAATTATTCAGAGACAAATCTAAAATTGTCTTTTACTAATAAAGTGGTCAAAGAGTTACAGATTTGAAAGATGGCTTAGAGAACACTTAGCCCAAATCTTTCATTTTATAGTTGAGGAAACAGAGAGGCATGGAGAAGCCTGCAGGATTGCCTGGTGACACAGAGGTACCAGGGACTGAAAGAGCCATTTGCTGAACAGAATCTCAAGAGCAAAATCAAATCTTGAGTAGAATGAAGTCAATATGGATGCTGCTGAAATCTGTGTCGACTTTGTATTAGTAATTTCTCAGCCTACCCACGGTTAGCATTAATCCAGATAGTCATGCCGGCTGCACAGCATTCTAGAGGCTTTCAAAATTTTTCCTGAAAGCATGTGGTTATGAATGCTTTTCCAGTGAGGACAGATCTAAGATACACGTCTAATTTCATTCCCGAAACTATAATCTCTAAAAAATAAAGTTCCAGGGCCTTGCAAAGTATTAGGTTAAGGCAGTGTAGTGAGCAGATTGGGGACTTCTCCAAAAGAGATACCCAACCACAGAACCTATGAATGTGACCTTACTTGGCGGGGGGCAGGGGGAGGTCTTTGCAGATACAGTTAGTATTGTGAGATGAGACCATCCTGGGTTACCCACGTGGGCCCTAAACCCAATGACAGATGTCCTCATAAGAGACAAAGAAGAGAAGACACAGGGCAAAGAGAGGACAGCTGTGTGCAGACAGAGGCAGACATCATAGTGATAACAGCCATGAGCCATAAAAGGCTAGAGCCACCAGAAGCTGGAAAAGGCAAAAAGCAGGTTTTTCCCTCAGGCCTTCAGAGGGAGCACAGCACCTTGATTTAGGACTTCAGGCCTTGAGCAGAGTGAGAGAATGAATTTCTGTTGTTTTAAGCCACCAAGTTTGTGCCAATCTGGTACAGCGGCCCCAAGAAACTTACATAGGCAGCAGAAGTCAGAGGAAGTAACTCTGAAGTCGCTTAGGTAATACACAAAGCAGAGCTCCACAGGGACTATTTTTCCTGTGTTCTTCCCAACTCTGCTGCTCCTCCCCACCAACATCCATCCTATTTAAAGCCTGTCTATCCTTTCAATCCTGACAGTGTAACGCAGAGAGTGAGTCTCAACCAGGGGCAATTTCGCCCCCCAGGGGACATTTGACAGTGTCTGGAGAAATCTGATTTTCATCATGACTGGGAATGAGAGTACCACTGGCATGAGGGTTAGAAGGCAGGGAAGCTGCTGAGCATTCCACCATGCACAGGTCAGCTCTCCACAAAAAAGAATTACCTGGCCCAAAAGAGTAATGACATTGCTATAAAGTATCAATGGCAATCAAACAGATATGGCCTATTAATTCAGTTATTCATTCATTTGTGCCCTAAATCTTCTCCAAGTACTCAGTGGGAGGACTATAGAAATGTGGTAAATTTTTAAAAAATAGTACAATGGCACACTTGTGGGGGAAAAAGTCCATTTTCATCCTAGTCACAACTGGTTATCTATCATGAAAAACTGGATAAGCTCATCCGATCTTAGATATTCAAAATTAACTATCCATGCTGTGTTTTGACTCACAGGGAATTGACAATTGTTATCATCTCATAGATGACTTCTTTTATGTTTGTTTTTTTTTGAGAGAGTGAGCAAGAAGAGGCGGGGAGAGGCAGAGAGAATCTGAAGCAGGCTACACACTCAGAGCAGAGCCCAATGCTGGGCTTGATCTCACAACCCTGAGATCATGACCTGAGCCAAAATCAAGAGTTGGACGCTTAACCAACTGAGCCAACCAGGCGCTCCCAGATGACTTCAATCTTTACCACTAAAGATTCCATTCTTTAGATTTTATTCAATAGAATGCTGAACTCATAGAAACCATTATAAAACTTTCTATAGTGCATTCTGGCCCTACTATGTATTACCATACAACATGAGAACTGCCCAAAGAGAAAGACTTTTCCTATAAGCAGTCATAACACGTGAAGGACAGCATAAATCCTCAACAATGGCTCTATAAATCCCAGTGCTGTGAAAGAACTTAACTGTCTCACCTAGGGATCTTAATAATATAATAGCCTTCGATATTTCAGTGTTGGATGAAGAAAAATTATTTTTAAAAGTCAAGTTTTCAAAATTATATAAGAATCAATATTGGGGTAGGCAAGGAGAGGCACTATACTTTTAGGATTCTTTAATGGAAACTAAGTTATTAATGCACCAAAATTGACCATAATATATGGCTATAAAAATGTTTCATAAATGTTTAAAATATGCCTTGCTTTATTAATATTTAACAACCCCATTCAATGAGCTAACAGTATCACTTTACAGCACCAGAGATTTTAATATGTATTAGTAGAGACTTAGTTCAGGTTTAGCATGTAAGGTACTAGTTTTAATTTTAATCCATACTGCTCATAAGAAGCAAAACCAGGCACTGAAAATACAACCCTCTCAGAAAACAGAATCTGAAAGCCCTCCATTGACATATGAGCCATGTTTATTCTTCCAGATATTCTGAAGCAGATTAATAAACAGACTTAAATTTGCAGCATAATGAATGAAAATACGACAGTAAGAGTTATCGTATGTAAAAACTGAGAGATTGCAAAATAATGTAATTTGTGTTTATGAGAAACAAAGACCACAAACCTAAATCCAGACTGCTTTCTGTTAATGAATTAAGATTTTCCAGATCATCAAATCTGCTTTGTTGACTGTCTCCTTCAGATGAGGGTATGGAGGGTGTGGAACCGATGCCAAAATTTTCTTTCATCTTGAGAGGAAGACAGACAGAAATGCATTAGTACTTTATGATAAAGTGAGGAACATGATAATGTTGTTCAAACCAGATAGCGGATAGTGGAAAACTGGCCCTACAAACAGGCCTTCCAGTTAACAGTTTATACTGTGGCAAGCAGTAACAAACGCTGATAACTTTGTATCTGCAAGGGTACAGGCTAATAATAAGATCTATTTAAAAGATTTTATTTATTTATTTGAGAGAGAGAATGAGAGATAGAGAGCACGAGAGGGAAGAGGGTCAGAGGGAGAAGCAGACTCCCCGCTGAGCAGGGAGCCCAATGCGGGACTCGATCCCGGGACTCCAGGATCATGACCTGAGCTGAAGGCAGTCGCTTAACCAACTGAGCCACCCAGGCGCCCAGATCTATTTTTTTTTAAACTCTGGATTTTTTTTAACCAAAAAAAATTGTTTTATAAACATTAATGAGTGGATTTAAGTAAATGATCACAAAGGTGTAAGAATAAAGATCTATCCAACCAAGAAAGGTCAATGGTTGATACACACTGACTCATGGATCATGTTGGACCACAACCTCAATAGCTTCACTGATGATCCCAAAACACCTGGTCGGAGATTTTCATAGCTCTAAGCTCTTGCTTTGCCCTTCCTATCACTTTTATCTGCCTGGCGAATACCAATAATACAAACCTAAAACCTGCAGATAAGCACAATCAATGATTTTTGCATTATCTGCTTGTCTTCCTTTGATAAATGTCTTCTATGGTTTCTGAAAGTTATATTCTTCCAGAACATACAATCTTCACTAACATATTTATTGGATTTTTTTTTTAAGATTTTATTTATTTATTTGAGAGAAGGAGAGATAGTGAGAGAGAGCATGAGCAGGGGGCAGGGAGAGGGAGAGGCAGAGGCTTGATTCCAGGACCCCAGGATCATGACCTGAGCCAAAGGCAGACACTTAACCAACTGATCACCAGGTGTCCCTAATATCTTACAAACTTTTATAGGCATAAAATTAAATGATACTGTTAGGGCCACCAGAGGGACATAACTCAATTAAGATGAATAACACCATTATTCCCTATTGTTGGAAATTTAGGTTGTTCAAAACAAAAAAGGTGAATGGCATCTTTTACACGGTCCATTGTTTACAATATTATATGTCATACTTCAATGTAAGAGAAGGATGTCTCATAAACTGATATACCAAATACTGCTGACTTTTTCCATACAGATTATGAATATAGCTAAGTATAGAACTCTATCAGATATCTAATGGAACCTACAGAACATAGAATTCAGCTCAAATATTAAATTGGGATGAGAAAGGAGATATAACAACCTAGCTGCCTAGAATAAAAGAATTCCTTAGAGAAGCGAGTAAGGAGGAGATGGTAAGCACTGAGTACTCAGAAGAAATTTTACAGCAATTCTGGACTTAAAAAAAAATGTTAATGACAATTATGTAACTGAGGAATAAGAGAACGGATAGCTGAATCTGAATTTCAATATAGAGGGTCAGCTCTTTAGAAAAATGAGTTTTTCTAAATAGAGAAGAAAATAAGAATATACAATCAGTCTTAGGTAAATAATCCCCAGGCAAGAGTCAGATCTTTTGAAAAGGGGCAAAAAACTTAAGACACTTCTCCAGAGAATATATGAAGATGGCCAATGAGCACATGAAAAGCTGCTCAACTTTTCCTAATAATAATTAGAAAAATGCAAATCAAAACCACAATAAGATACTACTTTGCACCTTTTTTAAAAACAAAAACAGAAAACAGGTATTGGCAGGCATGTATAAAAATGGGAAAATCTGTGCATTACTGGTGGGCATATAAAGTGGTACAGGTACTGTGGAAAATAGGATGGTGGTTCCCCCCCCAAAATTAAACATAGACTTGCATATGATCTAGCAATTTAACTTTTGGGTATATACTCCAAAAAATTTAAAATAATGATTCGAACAGATACTTTATATCAGTGTTTGCAGCAGCATTAGTCACAGTAGCCAAAGGTAGAAACAATCCAGATGTTCATCAAGTGATGAATGGGTTAAAAGACTGTGCTATATACATACAATGGAATATTATTCAGCCTTAAAAAGGGAGAAAATTCCAACATACGCTACAATGTGGATGGAACTTGAAGGTACGATGAATGAAATAAGCCTCACACAACAGGACAAATATTGTATAATTCCACTTAAATGAGGTACCTAAAGTCGTCAAACTCTTAGAGAAAGAAAGTAGGACTGTGGTTGTTTGCCAGGGGATGAGAAAAGGGGAGAATGAATAGTTATTGTTTAATGGGTACAAACTTTCAATCTGGGAAGATGAAAAAAATTCTGGAGATGGACGGTGATAATGGTTGTACAATAATGCAAGCGTATTTAAAGCTACTGAACTGTAAGCCTAGAAATGGTTAAAATGGTAAATTTTATGTACAGTAGCCCCTCCTTATCTGTGGGGGATATATCCCAAGACCCCCAGTGGATGCCTGAAACAAAGATAGTACCAAACCCTGTATATACTACTTTTTCCTATATATACATACCTATGATAAAGTTTAATTTATAAATTAGTCACAGTAAGAGATTAACAACAATAACTGATAATGAAATAGAACAATTATATTGTGATAAGAGTTATGTAAATGTGGTCTCTTTCTCAAAATATCTTATACTGTGCTCACCCTTCTTTTTATGATGATGATGTGAGATGATAAAATGCCTAAGTGATAAGATGTAGTGAGGGGAATGATGCAGGCATGTGTTAGGCTAGTACCGACCTTCTGAGAATATGTCAGAAGGAGGATCATCTGCTTCCAGACCTTGGCTGACCAGGTAACTGAAATTGTGAAAGTGAAACCAGAGATTGGGGGGGGGGAGGGGGAGGGGAACAGAAGGGGCTACTGCAATGTGTATTTTACTGCAAGTAAAAATAAAGAACCAGATCTATAAATCTTGATGGTTTTATCCTTCAATTAAAATGGAGTGAGAGAGTAGTAGAGAAAGGTAAATCTAAGTAGTTGGGTACTATCTGCACTCCACAAATAAAGCTATGTCTGTAGCCCAAAATGGATATTATAATGAAGACAGAAGTGATACTCTTACTCTACCCTTCTGGAGGCACTCTCTAAAGGAGTATTGAGAATTACATATTTTGTAAAGTATTCAAATGTTTTAACAATCTACCCAAAGCTTGTAAATATTAGATAATAAATTTTCATCACATGAGTACCTTTCTAAGAGGAGGGCAAATAAAGATTCAAGCCCATCCTGATCTTATGTGTGTAACTGTTATAGAGAATTAGACCATTCTATCAAAAATATGCCACTTTGGCATAAGGATTACTTGGAGAGGAAGACAAATGCGAAACAGCACATACAGAAAAGCTATCTTCCCCTGACTGTTCACCATCAGAGATGAATCTAGATTTTTTTTCAGCTCAGAGATGGCAGCAAGAGGAACATACATAACAAACCTAACTACAACAACCCTTATCTTCCATCAATTTCCCCCTTATATTTACCTTCCTACAGCTCTGACCCTAAAACCTAAACCCTTTTTCCTTTGTCTTGTCACTTCTCAATAAATTTATTGTGCTTTGTTAAGAAGCTATATAAGCCCAAGTTCTAACCACCCCTTTGAATTATTCATCACTGAGTTTCTACTGCATGAGTGCATGCCACACTTGTTAATAAATTGTTTTTCTTTTGTTAATCTTTCATCAGCTTAATTTCCAAGGCCCCAGCCAGAGAACCAATGAGGGTAGAGGAAAAATTTTTCCTCCCTTACACTGCCATCATTGTGGAGTTCAGGAAGGGAGGAAAAGAATGCCCAAAACAAGAAGATTTAATTATTTAAAGAAAATAAAATACTGTGCACACAAGACACATTAGGGCTGAAATTATTTGTTTTAAAGAGAGAGTGCACAAGTTGGAGGGGAGGGGAGGAGCAGAGGGAGAGGGGGAGAGAAAGAATCCCAAGTGGGCTCCTGACACGGAGCCCCATGTGGGGCTCAATCTCACAACTCAGATCATTACCTGAGCCAAAACCAAGAGTTGGACATTTAATCGACTAAGGCACCCAGGCACCCCTGGGGTGGCAACAAGTTTAATCAGTGCCATTTTAGGGACCTTATAGGTCACCTCACAGAATCAGAAATGGAAAATAAAAAGAAGGAAGCTAGGAAATTTAACACAGATTTAGTAATTAGGATGCATGTCTTTCAAATTGTGAGCACTGAATGTTGTTATAAACAAGCTTTTTAAATAGCACTTTAACAAACAACAGAGTAAGTGGTTATATTGTGAAGAAAATCACTATGTGCTTACAAAAGGAATTCTTTTAAAGCCTATTGTTATGCAAATGAGTATTTGAGATCAGGATAAAATTCTGACTGATAGTATGGATTAAAAAATTACTGTATCTCAAACAATCTATATGAAAATTAAGATGATATATTTGGAAAACTATTAAATGACAGAAAGGTGATTCTAGTGATAATGTATTTATGGATATAAATATGCATTGAAAGACTGAATAAAATTATGTCATTAAATGTGAGAATAGGCAAAAAATTTAACATTTGGCAGTTTTTAAAATATGAATGTTTAAATTTATAAAGTAAATACTGTGAATGTACCTGTGACTATTTAGTCTAGAACCCTAAAAGTTTATATACTAAAATGGGCCTCTATTTCAGGTTGCCTTATATTTAGGTAAATAGAAAATTTTCTTTTTATAGAAGAAAGCCACGACAAAGGAGTATTTATGAATATTCACTAATCTGTGATTAGAATTTGCTCCATATAACTCAATATTCTGTTTGGGTTAGAGTACTTACAGATACAGGAACGGGACTGGCAAGGAAAGAAAGCACCAATGTCAATGGCAACACACCAGGTGATTCTTTGTCACCTCTGCCCATATCCAGGCATTATTCACATAATCCCAAAACATCTGTTCTCTGGTAGACTTTCCAGAGTCCGCTAATCCTCTTGCATTCCATAAATACAGCTTGTATAGCACCTTGCATAGAAGAAGGACCCATAGCATTTGCATAAGGGGGAAAAGAAGGATAGGTCTGAGTAAGGAGAGAGCAAAGAAACTAGCCCCATGGGCCCTCTGAGAGAGAGTAAAGAAAAGCACACTCCCCACAGCACTGCAAGAAAGTTGCTGATGTCTGTGAGGGGAGTACTGCGCTGTATCTAAACATACTGCTAAGTGGCCTTGTAAAAAATATCCCTAGGAGCACCTAGATGACTCAGTTGGTTAAGCTTCTGACTCTTGATTTCAGTTCAGGTCATGATCTCAGGGTCGTCAGATCAAGCTCCATGTGGGGCTCTGTCCTGGGCGTGGAGCCTGCTTAAGAGTCTCTCTCTCCCTCTCCCTCTCCCCCTATACCCACCCCCCTTAAAATGAAAAGCAAAAAACCTCTATATAATAATTTTCTTTTCATTTCCCTGGAAGTTGATTTGGGGCATGAAATGAACAAGCAAACTAAGACATTAAAAATGTCCCTAATGAAAGATTCCAATTGGTGACCAGTTAACCCTAATTTTATAAAAATAAAGACCTATTTAAATATAATGCTTTCCTGCCAAGTTGAAAATAGGCAGTAACACAAATGTAAAGATAATTTTTAAGAGTTCAGTGATCTTCTATTTAGTATATGTAACACAGAGAACAGTGTGAATAAACAAGACATAAACAACGTATCTTGAGTCAATTTTGCCTTAATTTTCCTGATAAATACAAATACACAATATGAGAAATAGAGAGGGGTGTCTCCCTGAGGGAATAAAAAAACCACAAATGGCAAAAGACCTCTTCTTTGAAATGGATAATCTGGAGAAATACATCATTAAAAAAAAAAACAAGGCAAAAACCCACTATAAACCACTATAAAAGGCAACTACAGCTTATGGACTCTTACTAGTAGTTGTATAATACAGAAAAAATGAGTTTATCCTTACAGCATTACACTACACGGTACATCTTGGAAAAATGATTAATTACAAAAACTGTATTTTCCATTACGTTTTGTTCTTTTGAAAGTGACATGACTTAGGCACAGGGGCTGGGAGGGCAGGGGAGAGAAGGAGGGATGTGGAAGAGCTGTTCTCATTCCTTACCATGTTTTCAGCGCTACAGCTGTACTGCTGTGTCTCCTGGGAATACATACTCCTCATGGATCTTGCTTCTTGAAGCTCAGATGGTTCGCTGTCCTGTAACCACTGAGTGCCAAAGTGAAGTTCCTTCACAGAGGGAACAGGAGCAGCCTCTTGAAGGTGTGATGAGGGATACAAATCCATGGATGGAAAGTGATCTCGATATAGCTCATATTCTTCATCAACAAGCATCTCTCTTTCTTCCCCCATTTCCTGCAATCTAGGAGTCAGAAATTCATGCATCTCCCAGGCCTCCTTGCTGTTGTCTATCGCTTTCTGTTGGGACTGAAAAGCCTTTCCCAAATCGAGAAACGGCTCATCTACCAGCTCCTCTTTATAATAGGGTTCATCTCTAAATTCCTGTAAATAAAAGTTGCAAAAATAATTTTAACCCCACCTGCCCTGAAGTGGCACTCTACTACGCATTAACTGGGGAGTTAACCCCTGACATAACCTCAATGACTACATTCCACACCAAGGCACAGTTACTTGAACAGCTCTCCATTACAAAGGAGAAGTAAAAGCTCACTCCCACATAACCCTCAAAGCAAAGAAAGGGACAAACAGTAAGAGGCAGAAATCTGTCCCTGGCAAGGTGAATGACTATTCCAAAAGGGTTGTTATACATTAACCACCTGAAAATTCTCAATCAGAAATAGGAATTTTGTTAACCTGCTGCACTGAACATTTAGCTCATCCATCTCATACAGAAGTAGTACATAAATATAGACACACATCATACTATTACCTAGGAAAGCAAAGATATTTTCAAGCTTATAAAACTTAAAAGAAATTATGGCTCTTGAAATTATCAAAAAGCAGTCTCTATAAAGATATGGGACGTATGTCTCAACTACTTTGAGTATGACTATTTTATAATATGCCCTGTAACAGAAATGTATTTTTCTCAACTGTACTGAAATTACATGGCAAAAAGGAACCAATATAGTATGCTTTTTAATTAACTGATATTTCACTAATTAGAAGTACACATAACTGAAACTAGTCACACATGTGCAGAAACTTTGCTGAGTTCGTAGGTATTGCCTGAGGAATGTATGGATTTGCTGAGCCTCTAACCTAACCCTGGGGATCCTCAAGAGTGCTGAGCACAACGAGGCCCAATTCCTCTTGAGAGATCAATGATATTTCCTACTTGGACAACCTATTCATTAAGTATTACCAAATGCAAATTCATGAAATGAACCTACTACTTCCCACCTTTAAATTACTATAGTGTATCAAATACTGCAAGCTAATTTTTTTACAGGTGTGTTTACACGGTATATTTGAAGATGTCATACACTTAACGAAATTTTAACAAAGAATGTCTACACTAAAAAAAACCCCACAACGTATAGTACAGAAATAAATATCAGCTCGAGGCACTGTCAATAAATTATGCAAAGAATATCACCAGACGGTTGTTATCAGGTAAAGCAATACCATACACTACCTGCAAAGAGCAAAATAAGCACAATTCATTTTCAGAATAAAAAAGGAAAAGCTTCGAAATAGCCTTTCTAAAATTAAAGCGTAAAGAAGGGTTTGGCTAAATAACTCTTTTCTTTAGAAAGTATTCAGTAAGAAGTCCTTTGGTATAGCTCTATTTTCTACAGCATTTTAAATGCATGTCTATTTTTGAACATTGTGTTCTACGCTCAAAATTTTAAGACTGTATCTGTGGTATAAAATAAGGTATGTTTGTGCTTTGAAAATGCCTTATATCTGGCCTACGTCATTTATGAAGCCACTAAGATACAAGAGGGAAAACAGTTCATTTAAAAAAAAAAATAGGGGTGCCTGGGTGGCTCAGTCGTTAAGTGGCTGCCTTCGGCTCAGGTCATGATCCCAGAGTCCTGGGATCGAGCCCCGCATCGGGCTCCCTGCTCGGCGGGAAGCCTGCTTCTCCCTCTCCCACTGCCCCTACTTGTGTTCCCTCCCTCACTGTCTCTCTCTGTCAAATAAATAAATAAAATCTTAAGTAAAAGAGGATCATTTTATTTATATCCCTTTAGCCAAGAGTAGGAACAAGCTTTTGTCTTCTTTATAGAAATGTTAGCTCACAGCAAACCAGTCAAATAGGAAATCAATTTACTAAATACCTTGGGTGCTTCAAGTATTAAAGATGAATTTATATCATGAATTGTTCCTGAAAGTTCAGTCTTGTCTTCATTATTGTTTGAATGTAAAATATAATGACTTTCTTCCTCTTTATCATCTTCCTGAAAACAGAAACAATTTTATTGTTTTAAAAGACCTTATTTGAGAGAGAGAGAGCGCGTGCGCAATAGCACAAGTTGGGGGGGGGCAACGGGAGAGGGAGGAGCAGATTCCCCTCTGAGTAGGGAGCCGACCTGTGCCAAAGGCTGATGCTCAACTGACGGAGACACCCAGGCACCCCTGGAAACAATTTTTATTTTATTTATTATTTTTTAGCACAAATGAAGAAAGGTTTTTGTCAACCATGAAGCTATCTTTTATTGAGATATAACTGACATATAACATTATACGTCATATTAGTTAGGTGTACAACATAATAATTAGATGTATGTATATACTGCAAAATTTTAACAATAAATTTAGTTATATCTAAAACTTTCAAATATACAATATGGTCTCATTAATTGAGTCATCATGGTGTACATTACATCCCCAGGCCTTATTTATCTTATGACGGTAAGTTCGTACCTTTTGACGACCTTCACCCATCTTACCTACCACTCCCTGCCTCTGGCTACCATGGGAAGCACTTTTTTTTTTTTTCTTAAGATTTTACTTATTTATTTTACAGAGACACAGCGAGAGAGGGAGCACGGGGGAGTGGGAGAGGGAGAAGCAGGCTTCCCGCGGAGCAGGGAGCCCGATGCGGGGCTCGATCCCAGGACCCTGGGACCATGACCTGAGCCGAAGGCAGATGCTTAACGACTGAGCCACCCAGGCGCCCCAGGAAGCACTTTTATAATCAAGAAAATACCTTAGTTTTGAACTCTCTTCAGATTAATTCTCATCTTCCCATTAAGTGGAAGGACACAATAAAATTTATGCAAATTGTTTTATTAGAACAAACTTTTCTTTAATAATTAAAAAGAAAGCCATATTTGAGTCAAAGCTTCTCAAACATTTTTTCCCTTTTTAAGTATTCCTAAAACTACTTGCAAAAGAAAAACTGGACCATTTTCTTTCACCATACACAAAAATAAACTCAAAATGGATTAAAGACCTAAATGTGAGACCTGAAACCATAAAAATTCTTGAAGAGAGCACAGGCAATAATCTCTCTGACATCAGTTGTAGCAACATTTTTCTAGATGTGTCTCCTGAGGCAAGGGAAATAAAAGCAAAAATAAAACTATCAGGGCTACATCAAAATAAAAAGTTTGTGCACAGCAAAAGAAACAATCAAAACTAAAAGCCACCTACAGAATAGGAGAAGATATTTACAGATGACATATCCAGTAGAGGGTTAGTATCCAAAATACATAAAGAATTGATTCAACTCAACACCCCCCCCAAAAAAAAAATCCAATTAAATAATCCAATTAAAAAATGGGCAGAAGACACACAGATGCCAGCAGACATGAAAAGATGTTCATCCTCACTCATCATCAGGGAAATGCAAGCCAAAGCTACAATGAGATATCACCTCACACCTGTCAGAATAGCTAAAATCAAAAGCACAAGAAACAAGTGCTGGTGAGGATGTGCAGAAAAAGGAACCCTTGTACACTGTTGGTGGGAATGCGAACTGGTGCAGCCACTATGAAAAACAGTATGGAGGTTCCCCAAACAGTTAAAAATAGAAATACCATATGATCTAGTAAATTCCACTACTGGGCATTTACTCAAAGAATATGAAAACACTAATTTGAAAAGATATATGCACCCTTATGTTTATTGCAACATTATTTACAATAGCCATATTTGGAAGCAAGCTGCCCAAATGTCCATCAATAGATGAATGGATAAGGAAGATATGTTGTATATATAGACAACGGATATTATTCAGCCATAAAAAAACAATGAAATCTTGCCTTTGCAACATGGATGGAGCTAGAGAGTATAATGCTAAGTGTAATAAGTCAAAGAAAGACAAATATTATATGATCTCACTCATATGTGGAATTTAAGAAACAAAACAAATGAGCAAAGAAAAAAAAGAGACAAACCAAGAAACAGACTTTTGTTTTAAGATTTTATTTATTTATTTGACAGAGAGAGAGAGCATGAGCACAAGCAGGGGAGCGGCAGGCAAAGGGAGAAGCAGGCTCCCCGCTGAGCATGGAGCTGGATGCAGAACTGGATCCCAGAACCCTGGGATCATGACTGGAGCCAAAGGCAGCTGCTTAATCAACTGAGCCACCCAGGTGCCTGGAAACAGACTCTTAACTATAGAGAACAAATTGATGGTTACCAGGGTGGGAGGGATGGAGGAAATAGGTGAAGGGGATTACCATGATGAAAAATAGATAGATAGATAAGTAGGTAGGCAGGTAGACAGACAGGTAGATAATTTTTTTTAAAAAAGGAAATTCAACAGGAGCACAAACTAGAGTTTCACACATTTGTCAGATATAAGATCAAATTACCAAGTCAGTATCATTACCTCTACTTCAGCAATAGCTAATTTGAAAATAAGACATAATTCACAAAGGGGGGGGGGAACCAGTAAATTACCTCAGAATTAAACTAAAAAAGACCGTACAGCATATTTAAGGAGAAAACTGTAAAAGAAGATCTGACTAAATAGAGACATATTATGTGGGGAAAAGAAAGTATTCCTTAAATTAAAAAACATCCCCAAAAAGGACCTTAATATTAAGAAATATCAGTATAGGGGCACCTGGGTGGCTGATTTGGTTGAGCGTCCAACTCTTTGTTTTGGCTCAGGTCATGATCTCAGGGGCGTGGGATCGAGCCCCACGTCAGGCTCTGTACTTGGTGCAGAGTCGGCTTGAGACTCTCTCCCTCCTCCTCTGCCCCTCCCCCCACTCATGCTCTTGCTATCTCTAATAAATAAATTAAATCTTTTTTAAAAAAAGAAACATATCAGTATACACAGGGTAATATTCAAAATATTTAACCCAGGTATAGTGCAGTCACTTGCCATCAGAAAAGGTTCAGCCATCCTAGTGTTTACCAGCTCAATAGCAGTCCTAGGTCAGAACACAGCTACTATTTATGAAGTCCTAGCTCTAAATCACAATCCAGGGTAAACACTTCATACGCTTTGTCTCAGCTTAATCTTCACAGCAATCCAAGTCAGGACTTCATATATTTATATAAAAATAATGGCAACACATATGTATTTATGACACTATGGGCCAGGCATAGGTTTAAGCATTTTAAATATTCAATTTAGTATATTTATTAATGTATTAATATACATTCTAAGAGGTAGGTACTCTTATTAACCCTAGTTTACAGAGGTGTAAAAAGTTACATAACTGGCTCTAGGGCCTGGGATCTCAACTACCACACCATGCAGTCCCCACATACAGACAAGGAAGTGGGGGCTGACGAGGTTAAATAACTGGCCCAAGGACGCACAGCCTTGCAGATCACAGAACTGAGCAAAACCCCCCAGCTGCCTGGCTCAAGCATTCCGCTGCTGGCTCTGACCCATTAGCTCTGAAGACACAACGCAGTTTTTAACTGAAGTCAGTTCATTCATTTTTTGGATCTGGTACGTCTGAGATGAATTTGTAGAAAAGAGAAGATAAGCCCCATTCATGGTTAACATGAAAATATATAATATGAAACACATTACATAGACAATGTATATCTATATAATACATGACTTAATAAAAAATCGTGTTCTCCTAACTTTTATATATTCCATAGACTTTCTGGCCCCAGTTGACTTTGGGCCACCTTCTTCACACTCTCTACCCCACTTCCGCAGAGGCCTGAATGCTCAGTAAACATTACATGATAAGGTTAAGTGGCCACCAAGTGGACCACCAGAGAGACAGACCTTAACCAAGATCTATGCCTCACTCTTTACAGTTCCTGAGCCAATAGTTTTGCTAAAGGCACCCAGATGTTAAAGAAGGAATTAGTGGTAATTCCACTAAGAATTTTTTCTTAAAGATTTTATTTATTTGAGAGAGAGAGAGAATAAGCAGTGGGGAGGGGCAGAGGGAGAAAGAAGCAGACTACCTGCTGAGCAGGAAGCCCCATGCAGGACTCGATCTCAGGACCCAGAGATCATGACCTGAGCCGAAGGCCAAAGCTGAACTGACTGAGCCACCCAGGTGTCCCTCCACTAAGAATTTTTTACAGTCCTGAAAGTGACCTTTGTCTTCATCCCTTTTGTGGCTTCCCACTCCCAAGTATCCTGGAAGCCTTCTACACACGAAGGGAAGCCTAGGCAAAGGTCTGCCTCACGATTACTACGTTCCAAAACCCCCTCAGAATGTGGCTCTGATATCCTGAAGTCTCTGCAGCTCTCGCTCTGCCAGAAATAGCACAGGAATCCACACCCAGCCAGTAACTAAGCTGTTTTTTTTTACACCGCCTGACACATCCCTAAACTGCTTCAGAGTAAAGTCATGCTATTTAAGTCCTCCAGGACATAAAACAGTTTGGGATTTCCTCTGGCAGCCCAAATATTCAGGAAAGTAATCATCAGGGAAAATCTAGACAACACCACCCCCCTCCCCCGCCAACAACCAAAATATCAAGAAGATGCAATCCCCATAAAAATACCAAGTTCCTCCCCACAACTTAATTTGTCCAGAAATCAAACCAGGCATCTCCTGGTATCTCATGTTGGCTATGGCAACACCCATACACCAAATATAGAATACAAAGTCAAGAACTTGATTAGCTATGTGCTATACTCTATTTTAAAATATTTAGAGTGTCTGATAGTATAATATACTGGCATCTTTGTGGGGAATTCATGAAGGCCATGTTGAGGTTCCCCCATGCATAAATACTATGTGTAACACAGGATCTATCTCTGTCTATATATCTATAAGTGAACACACTTATCTATATTTACCTATACATAAGGACACATGTAGTATGTTAATATAGTCATATAGCATATTAATAAAATAAAAGAATCTTAGAGTTAAGAAAGATTTTAGGACTCCTCTAGTCTTGTTCAGTTTTCTCAGAGATGAAAAAATAGGCTCAGAGAAGGAAAGTGGTATACCGATGATCAGATTACTAAGATAATGTTTCTCAAAGTGTGAAATTCTGCATCAGAATTACACGGGTGATTCACTGAAGAGGCAGATCCCTAAATAGCACATCCCAATGACAAGATGAGAATCTCTGAGGGTAGGACCTCCAAAACTGCATTTTAACCATCTCCCAGGTGATCCTTATGTATAGTACATATCTTTTTGTTGAAACCCACTGGGCTGACTCATAGAAAAGCTAGAAACAGAGTCCAGGTTTCTTGAAGTCCAGTTTAACACTTTGCTAAGACCAGCTATCTGTTTGCTATCTGCAAACTAAACTTGCAACAAGTTATACAGCACTGTGGTCTGAAGCCACCTGAGTTTATATCCCAACTCTGCCCTTACCAGCTACATCACTGCGGATAAGTTGCTCAATTCTCTGTGTCCTGATGGGCTCATCTGTAATCTGTAACCTCTTCAAGTTGCCAGGAGGATTAAGTTAGTTAATACATGTAAAGGTTTTAAAATACATACAGTAAGCACTCAATAATATCTTCATACTGCTTGCAAATTACCGTCAATATTCTGTTGTACTGGGGAACCTCAAAACCACCCTAACTGTAATATGGCCCTTAGTCATAAGCACTAATCTGACCTGGTAGGTTAAGATAAAGCAGTAAGAGAACTTCAAAATGATCTGACCACATAGAGTTCTAGATGCTAAGGGTTACAAGGCACTTTGATGGGCAGAAAAGCATACTAAAATCTCATTGCCTATGGTTAAAACAATATAGTTAAATGGATTTCAGCTTATCATGCCATTTCCACATCATTCCCAAGTGAAAATTAAAATGCATAGACTTAATTTACATCATAAGGAATGTGATGAGAACATACAGATCTGTGCTAATATCATGAAGATAAAAATAGTAGTAAAAGTGGTAAAAGGACTAGCAATGTTAGCATCTCCTATTTATATAATAATTTGCAAGCACTTTATGAATATAATCTTTAGTCCCCAAAATCTTAAAGAGATAGACATTATGTTTCTAATTTTTTAAGTCGAGGACATAAGAAACTTGTATTAGTACACAGAGTAAGCCATGAAGAGGGATTCGAAACCAAATCCATGTTCTTAAGTATTACACTATTATCACGTCCTATATTAACAAAACTGAACACTTACCACCAAAGGTTTACAGATGCCAAGGCGTACGATGCCTGGTGGCACAGCTTTCAACACTTCTACAGCTTCAGCAAGTGTGGTGTTTTCCAAACAGTGTTCATTAACTGAGACCAGGCGGTCTCCAGGTAACAGCTCTCCCCCTCTTTCTGCGACACCATCTGCCACCAGGGAACGGATCACAATCACTGATCTTGTGGGATCTAAAGGGTCCTAAGGATCAAGCCAAGAAAGAAAGATAAGTCAGTTTCTGAAAACACATATACTCGTGAATCTCATTTGACTATTTACATTAAGTATCCAGCATTCTGGTGATATTCTTCCAAAGAGGTCAAAATCTATTACAATATCACTCTATACATGCACACAAATATCAGCTTATATCAAGGTGGAAACATCACCTTAACAATTTTAGTTGCACGTCTGAGTGTTCAATACCTACACACTTCTTCTTTGAACTTTTGGTGACTGGTACTTTGTTGGGCCACAAGAAGTCTGGTTGACAGTTGAGCAAGATTCTCTGACATCCTCAAGCACAGTCATATTACAGACCAAAGACAAGTCTGATCTTGGGCAATATGTAGGCTCTAAGAGAAGTGTACTATGGTAAACGATACTTCATTTTTTTTATGTATTCCACCAGTATAAAATCCTCCTGCTAAATGAATGAAGTTCAAAAAAGATATGGAATCCACAGAATATTCCACTGCATGAGAGAGGTAGTTTTAAAATAACATAGGTGTAATTGATAATATATAAATTGTAACATGGTATAGGGACCCCACGGTGAGAACTATTCTGATACAAGAAAACCAGTGTCATTTCATGAACAAAACCAGTCTGTAAATAACTCTCATCCACTGGGAGGGCCCCATTTTTCTTTTTATTAAGCAGCCCTAAAGATAATGTTGACATTCAATAAATGCATGTGGTTAATAAGAACCAATTTATAGCCCATTATTTTTTATTTTATTGGACACTGATATATAGTACTATATGTCAGGCTCTATTTTAAGTGCTTTAACACTTGTCTATGTTTCTACAGATGAGGGAACTAAGGCTCAGAGAGTTAAGGAAACTTGCCAAGATTACCCATCTGGTAAGTGGCAGAGCTAGGATTCAAACCCAACCAGTCTGGCTCCCAAGTCCTTCCTCTTGACCACCATGTTCTGTCACTTGCTCCACATTAAAATAATGGTACAATTACTGAACATCAAACTTAGTAAGGGAGAGAAAAAAAATCATCAAATCCCAGGCAAAACACTTGTTTTTGTTTATTTTGTTCCTGTTGTTTCATTATGCATATACTGTTCCATAAAGGCAAGGTGTAGTAACATGAGATTCTACTACTGTTGAACCCTTCCTGACAAATGAGAGAGAAACGGTCATGTTTTGTGTTAGAATCCAAAGACTATGGAATTAACAAAGTGAGAATTTGCCAAGTTCCAGGCTGCCAGTTTGAAGTGGCTCATGGTTCTTTTGAAGTTTTCTGATCCATTTTTCATAGACCTCTGTGTTTCAGACATCAAGGCTCATTTTCAAGTACTATATGGAGTTTTAACCAAATATATGTAAATCAACAAAAGCTACACAGCTAATTCCTTGAAAAATGCCTTCAAACGTAACTTATCTTACTTTCCTTAAACTTGCTTTTCTGTTCCGAGGTCAAGAGATTCTTGGTAAATCTCTAACATGCTCTGATGTATAACACTTCATATTTATGAAGAGTATGGAAAGTAAAAATAGTCATGAGTACTAATAAAGTACATAGTCTTAAACTATAATTACACCAATATTTTCAAGTAGAGGGAGCTATTGCATAGGAAGAGAAAAGAACAACAAAAAAAGTACAGTGGTATTATCAGCAGGCAATCAGTGCAGATATAAAAGAGCTGTCTATTTTGTCACCGGCAACCATGAATCACAACACACTTTTCATTCTGAAATATGAAACCATTACATTTTAAGTTTGACACACTAATAAATAAGCTGTACAATTATGTCCTTCATTTAGGATGTCAGTTTGTGATGAAAGGCTTTTTTATTAGGGGGGAAGGGAAACTACATAATAGCATATTCCCCTCATGAAATGCACAGAAAGCAACTAGCATTACTTCATATTAATAATTACTAAGCTTTCTTAGAGAAAATTGCAACAGTAAAATATACCAAAAGCAAAGAAATGATTTCACCAGCTTGATGCAAGCAATCTCTGCAGTTTCATATAACACCAAATCAAAAAGCACTATTTTTTACCCCAACTAGGTGAATGCAAAATGCAACCAGCTGAAATGATGATTAGAAACATCTCAAAGAAAGATTAACCAGGCAATACCAGAAACAGAACGATTAAAAGATTTCCCTTATTATAGAAAAGTCACGGTGAGCATTCATTTATACAAAGTGCAGTCTTCTTTAGACCTTAAACTATACCAGGTGTGCCTGCTTACTAAAATTTATTCAGGCTTAGACCTCTAGTTATTCTCAACACTAAGTCTAATCTACCACCCCTTTTCCTGGAAGAGAGAACTAAAGGGCAGCTCCTTTGTCATTAAAAAAAAAAAAAAAAAGACAAACTATCCACTTCTGAAGATGCCCCATTATGTATAATCACTATTTCATTTTCTGTGATGACTTTTCTGACTGTGTGATTTCCCACGTAGCTGAATGAAGTTGCTTTAATGAGGAACGGTCATTTCCTTTCATGCTCATCACATGTAGTAGCTGCCCTATGGAAAATGAGCAGCTGCTGCTGCCTACTGGGGCGACTGCTATTCTTGAGGCTTTGCTGCATAAAAAATGCTGAAAAACCAGCCTGATTTAGGCTACTCGTCATCAGGAAGGTCTGTTTTCTGAAAATCTAGCCCACAATAGCATACCCATGTTGCAGCAAACAAAATGTTATGACAATATTTCTTAAGACCTCTACCCAACTTTGAGACCCCATGCAGATTTTTTTTAAAGTCCCCATCAGTTTTTATCACCTTTTATCTCAATTTTAATACCTCTAATTCTTCCTGTTTTGGTACATAACACTGCGAGGAACATTGTTTTCCAGAATCAACATTGTTTTAGACTAAGCAGTCAATAGAGGGCACTAAAGACTAATCACAGAACACAAGAACAGCATCTTTTACTATGCCAGCCATTCTCTTCTGAAGGATTTTTCTTTATTCAAAAGCCTTATATTATTATACAAGTTATAACAGTATCCCCTATGTTTGCCTCAACTCAACTGTTTATGAAAGGTGCTCCCTACAGCTCTTAAAAATATTATCAAACTCCTACAATCAACTGAGAACAGCTAACCTCCCTCAGAACACCAGACCAGAAGACAGGAGATCTGACTTGAATTCTTCTCACTACTTAGCTGTGAAATCCTGAAAACCCAAATAACTGCTCTGTCTCACAAGTGAATACAATCACTGTACCGTTTGAAGGAAAGTGCATATAAGAATTTTTGAGGTTTGCTGAAGTGACATTCATGTTTGATATTATAAACACAGGATGTTTCCACGTAGGGGAAATCCAAGTTGACAGACTTCTCTCCTCCCATAATAATCCGAGCAGCATTACCATATACCCAAGCATTCACTTAATCCCTCTCCCCTCACCCCTCCACTTAGTTGCTAGCTAAAGCATGTCAATTTGATTTACTATCTTTTCTATCTGACCCTTTCTCTCCATTTCCGCTGCCACTACCTTGGTTCAGCTTCTCATTATTTCTTGCCTGGGCAACTGCGAATCTCCCTATCTCTGATCTTGCCCTCATCCAGTCTATTTTCCACAGAGATAAAGGAATACTCTTTAAAAATAAAAATGTGGGGATCCTCGGTGGCTCAGTCAGTTAAGCGTCAACTTTTGATTTTGGCTCAGGTCATGATCTCAGGGTCGTGAGATCGAGCTCTGCATGAAGCTCTGCACTGGGCATGGAGCCTGCTTAACATTCTCTCCCTCTTCTAGTGCCCACAACCCCCTGCTCACACACATGCTCTCTCTCTCTCTCTCTCTCTAAAAAAATAAAAACTGAGCACCTGGGTGGCTCAGTCAGTTAAATGGCTGACTCCTGATTTTGGCTCAGGTCATGATCTCTGGGTCCTGGGATCCTGAGCACTCCATGCTCAGCACGGCATCTGCTTAGGGATTCGCTCTCCCTCTCCCTCTGCCCTTCCCTCCCCCTGGCTTGCACTCTCCCTTTCTCTCTCAAATAAATAAATCTTTTTAAAAATAATAAAAAATTTTAAAAATTTAAAAATAAAAATGCGACCACGATTTCTTCTCTGTTTGAAACACTTCAGTGACACCCAACTGCCTTCAGGCTCAAGTCCTAACTGCTTGGTAGAGCAATTCCCTCAGATCTGCAGATGAGTCTAAACTCCTCTTACTCTCCCCTTATGTACCATTGCCCATCCCTGTTTGCCCCACACATTGTCCCAACAATACAGAACTACTGAAATCCAAGGACTATGAAATGCTTTGACATGCTTCATGACATCCGACAAACCATTCCACCTGCCAGGAATACTTTTTCCCTGCCCCACTGCCGCTTCTCTCCATCTTTGCCACCAGACTCAGCTCTAGTGTGTTTCCGCCAATGAGAAGCCTTCCCTGACTCCCCAAAGCTAACTCAGGAACTACTCTGTGATACCTCTAACCCCAAAAGAGGACTTCCACAGAGCATTCGTCATAATACTGTTTTCCTTACTGTCTCATACCTCCTAGAGTAAGTTAGGTCCTCCTGCTAGATGTATCCATGGCACCTTGCATTTTCTCTATTATAACACTTTTGACATTTTACAGAAATTATTTTAACTGTCTTACCTACTAAAAATAAGCTTCACAAGAGCAAGGGTATGTTTGCTTCTTTGCTGCTTTATTTCCAGGACCTACTATAGTGACTGCCATATGGAAGGTACTCAATAGTGTTGAAATACTGAATGACTCAAACTATTTAGTGTCTCTCTCCTCACTGGACTGTTAAGTACATCAAAGGCAAAGGACACATCCCATCATAGGTGAATAAGAACAACAGCACTTACTGAGTTCTTGCCATGCCAGGAATGTTCTAGGAATCTTACTTATTAGAATTCATTTAACCTTCAAACCACCATGAGGTAGGCACATTATCCCTACTTTCAAGATGAGAAAACTAACAGGAAAATTAACCAAGCCCCACAGCTGATAAATGGCAGAGCCAGAATTTAAACCAGCTG